AATTGCAGATTTGCAGGTGGCGATATCGCAGGGGGGGAATCGGAGATGGAAGGGAGGGGGAGAACATACCTGCGGCGGACGGAGTTGCAGCTCCCGGCGTGAAGGTGAGTGGCGGCGACTGGGGAAGAAGAAACGGAGCCTAGCGAAGAAGAAACGGGGGTGGGGGGGAATCGCAGGTAATGAGAGGAAATTCGGGTATAAGGGGGGAATGGGAAAAGCCGGGAAATCCAAAACTTAAAAAATAGGAAAAGGGAATGAATTTTTTTTAAAACAAACCCCAATAAAGGGAATGAGGGAATCGCATTCCCTTACCCCGAACCAAACGCCCTCTTAGAGAACACCGCATCAGTAACCCCCGTACCAGTAGTATGCGGCAGAAGAACGTGATTAGATGATGGAGGAACTTATGATCTCGAGTCCACTGCACGCATTTTCCTTTGACAAATTTTGAATAGTTTCAGAAAGACATGACTCTAATTTGAGTTTCAGAAAGACATGACTCTAGTGGCGGAAAGAAGAATTTGCTTTAAAGCTAAATTTTGAAATTGTGGACGTATTCACTATTTTTCTTTAGTTTCACAAAAAAATAGTAAGATATTTTTAAGTAGTATTTTGAATAAATTTTTAATTGAATAATGGTATATATATTATGGAGTATTTCTGAAAATATTAATGCTAAAATCTATAATCAGATAACTTTTTTCAAAACATTGACCTCTAACATTGATGTCAGACAATGTATCACAAATTTTTCTTATATTTTACTCTATCAGTCCATTTTTCTTCTCATTTGAGCAACGTTTAAAATTCCATTTTTTTAATTATTTTATTTTCATATTGGTATTTTAATACAAATTATAAATTATATTAAATAAGATGTGATAAGAATATTATTGAAAACATGTTTGTGGCAAAACCATATAAAGAAATGAATATTTTATATAACGTACATGTTCAAAAAACAAATATACAATAAATATAAAATGACAGACAAATTTGGAAGTGTGTTCGATTTTGGCAGTTTCGTTATCAGCCAAAACGAAAGAAAAAACAGGAGGTATGTTAGCGATTTGATTTGATTTTGCACCAAAATTAAGTAAACAATTAGTTATTCAGTTTTATGCTGTTTTATTTTTGTTTTTTATTTTTTTATTTTAAAAATAAAAGTTATAAATAGCACGGTCAGACCTTAGGGATTTAATCGATGGACACAAATAAATCAACACTAAAATGTAAAACAAATAATTATACTTCACCGACATTTCCGGCACACGTCCAGAATCTTCTACCAGTATTACTTTTGGTCCACGATGTTAGCATTTTCATGTCCTTGCCACACCTACAAGTAGGGACTTCAAACCATTCACCATACTCACAAACTCTTTTTGAGGACGTGACCGAGCGACTTCCAAAACTATACGAAAAAAATCAACAATTCTTTAGCATATTTATCAAAATGTAAGGCAACATGTCGTGTCGGGTTCGGTTCAATTAGTACGGGTCGACTTGGGTACATGTCGGGACGGTTCGAGGAGATGTCGGTTTGGGTACATGTCGGGACGGTTCGGAAAGATGTCGGTTTGGGTGTCGGGACGATTCGGGGAGATGTCGTGTCGGGTTCATGTCGGGTCGGTTTGGATACATGTCGGGACGATTTGGGTAGATGCCGGGTCGGTCATATATACTAAACGAAAGCCAACCCGACAAAAATCAGGATCGGTTCAATTATTACGGGTCGGTTTTGGATACGTAGTTATTTGGTTCGGAATCAGATATAATAAGCTCCGTTCGGGTCGATAAACGTTACATTCAGATAGAATTGCAATCCCTATAGTTGAGGAACATCAATACTATAAACATACATATTTTGAGCCATTCAATTCTTGATGCACACATTTGTACACTCTTGAAACATAGTAAGAAATATAATTTCGGGCACATGAATTCTTTCCTGGTCTATGTCATTCTTGTGTTCTTGCTCTGTGGTGTGTTTGGCTTACTTGATAGAGTACTATATTATTATCAAATATAGTAATCCTATTTTACACATGATGGGGTTCTAATGACATTAGAACCCCATGTCATGGGAGGACCCGGGGGCGCTCTGATGCCTTATTCGTAAAATTTATTGTTCTTACCTCCTAACC